ATGACATTAAAATGTGTTTATATTCTACGTACTCTTGGACGGTAGACTAAACCACTGTGAACCCATATAAACGCTGAGTCATGTACAAAAATACTGTGATACAAATTCTTGGTCATATATTTATGAAATGTTTAGTCTGAACAATGTCAGAAAATAATGAAAGAATTTAATTTTCACAAAGCACAAACATTTCCAGATGTCCTGTTTTGCAAATCTTAATATTTGAGAAGCAAAAACAAAGGAATGATTGGAATATTCTCAATTATCAAAATAGATGTTTCCCAAGGACTAATCGATTCATTCATTCGATCATCAATCGTTTTCAGCTCTACAGTGCGTGTAGACTGTTTGGCCGACTGCTGGCGACTCGATCGCAATGTATTCTGTGAATTTACACCCGGATTAACATGTGTTTTTCAGTATCCAACCAAAATATCCAGATAAACTTAACTTAATTAATACCAGCTGTAAATGGGGTCGGTTTTCTACAGAAACAGCCAGAGTTGATCTGTTGACGTCTGATGTTTTTGCATTTTTGGGCCCTGAAATCAAATGAAAGGATAATGATTGTTTGCTGATCTGAAATTGTTTAACCTGCCCACATATAGAGGTGTGTGTGTGTGTGTGTGTGTGTGAGTGTGTGAGTATTAAATATCACCATGGTCAGCCAGAGACACTGTGTGCTTCATCTCGGTGTTACCATGAGGACCAAACTCCAAGCCAAGCCTGTTTGCTGCATGTAGACACCAAGTCCACCATCCATGACTGCTGGAAGACGAGTCTCTGCACGTATTCACTGATGTATCTCTCTCTCTCTCTCTCTCTCTCTCTCCCTCCCCCGCTACATTTCTCTCCCTCTTCTTCTCCCGGTCCCCCAGCGTCTTCGAGACCAGATCAAGACGTGGGTGGCATCCAACGAGATCAAAGACAAAAGGCAGCTAGTAGAGAACCGCAAACTCATAGAAACGGTGAGTATGAAGCGAGCAGAGGAGAGGTAGGACAGGTTCATTACAACGCTCCCTGCAGGACTCGTGTTTGCTCTGCTGGATTCTGTTTGTTTTGAACTCTGGGAAGTCTTAAGAAGGAGAAAAATGTATTTGACAAACTCCAGTTTGGTCATATATAGAGCCATTAAATCGCTCTATCATGAAGTCATAGATTACCGGTTTGCCGTCACTTATCGGCCAATATTTGACCTACTGTGATGGGTTTTTTAGTTAATTACCTACTGATAACACTCAATACACTGGTGTTTTCTTCGTGTTGACATTTGTCATTCATGTTCCTGAAACATTGGTTTTTGTGTGCAAGAACACAAACAAACATTATTTTGCAGAGTTTTGTTCGGTTTGGTTTTTTAAAACGGCAAAGAAATTGTTTGCAGTGTTAAAGTTATTGCTGCTTTTAACTGACCTCAAGAGTTGATGTAATATTTTACAGAGTAACAAAAGGCTAAAACAGAAACAAACGCATACATATGTGATACCTAAACACATAAATAATACTCTGTCAGCAGTTATTGTTAGTTATTAGATTTAATGTCTGTGAGATATTACCATATGGCATTAAAGACAGACACCTTTAAAACATAAACACTGATAAAATAATCATCTACTTCTCTCTGTATCATCAGCTTGTTGTGAGAAAGACAAAAATCGAACGTTTTAAGTTGAATATAAAATAATAACCCCTGTAGATACCTGTGGGAATGTATTCACAGCCTCCTGACGAGAGAAAAATAAAACGAACACCCGTACTTTAACACCCGTCCTAATGAACAAGAATAGGAGATGTATTTTAAATGGAAAGGGTTTATATTTATCACTGGTGGCCAGTTTAAAAGTGTTTTTTCTTCATGGAGGAAGTCACTGTCAATTTACATTTAATCAGACAAAAATTTAAAGTTTTCACAGCTAGAAAATTTTTTAAATGTCCATAGAAACTTGTCAAACCGCTCCTACAACATAATCCACTCACCAGTATGCTCTAAATAGTTTTATTATATATACCAAAATATTTATATTCACAGCTTCGAAGTCACTCTGTTGCTGTGGAAGCTTCATCTACGTCTCAAACTCATCAAGGACGTGTATTAACCCGACATAATGTGTCTTTTAAAATGGGATAAATTCAAAGGGATCGTGCTGTAAATGCTGCACTATATCAAACATAATGTGAAGAGTTCATGCGTTGAATCTCTGCTGCTTTTGATCCAGAGCTTTTCTTCACTTTCCTTTTTTTAGTTTTTTTCAACTGTAATTCTTTTTATGTACATAAAAGTCTCTCAAGCAATAGTGATTAAAACCTCATTAGATTTATTAAAGCTTTTACATTTGCGTTCAGATCACTGATTTAGATAAAAGCTGCACAGGGAGTTTAAGTCAGTAGCTCCTCTGGTTCGACCGGCGCAGCGTGAAATCTACAGAAACTCAAACCTCTGTAATAATAAAATGCAGTTAAGATAGAAAATGGTTTCTCAGATTGCCCCTTTAACTGAAGAACTGCACCCAGAAGACGCTCATTATGGCATTCTTCATAGAGAGCTGGGAAACATGGGAGCCGGTCCGATATCTAACACCTGTTCTTTAGCGTAACCGCCCCGCCTGCCAGGCCGCAGAGCCACATGAGGCTTTGATGAGGGTTATTGAGATGGACTGAATGCGAGCCACCTGCCTGCACAATGAGGGACGAGAGCGGCTCGCCAGCTCCCTCTGATCCCGATGAGTTGGTTTTTTATCCCAAAGCTGCTCTTCAGGACTTCCCGTGGTTTTGTTGGTTGACCTGAAATTATACGCTCAGTCACAAGAGTCCCGCAGGAAGCTGCTGGGGTTTGTTTGAAACATCTCGTCCTGGCCAAAAAGAAGGAACATCACAATCTGCTCGATGCTTTTACAGAGTTACTGGATGTGACCGAGATTAAATGTGTCTTGTAAAATTGGTATTACAGTTCAGAGCCTCCTCTTCAGGGTCTTTACGGACTCACATATCAGCTCACTGCTGTGGTTTATCTACCGGAGATGTACCAACCTTCAGTAACAGACAGTATGTCGTCTGTTTTAATGGCTCCTTTAGTGCAAGACTCGTCCTATTTTACAACTCCATCATTGTTAAGGTTGTTTAGGGACTTCAGTGGATTAAAATACAAAAGGAAAAAAACTGCTATTTACTTTTTTCTGGGCTGAATTTGAAATTTAATTCCCGTTTCTATTCTTTTGTATCTTTGTAGCATCCAAATCAACGACTGCAGTTTTTACAGTTTGATCCACATGTCTGAACAAGTGCAGCTTTTTTATTAAGGATGCGTGATATATTTCAGGATCAATAATGGGAAATTTATATTATTATGTATTTTTCCGATAATGAAATTATAGCCGATAAATGATCCTACCATAATGACAATAATTTATTTTGAATTCTCATGCGTTGATAAGCTTTTTGTTCTATGAAAACCAAAGTATGTTTGTAAAGTTTTTAGCTGTAATTTACTAAAGAAACATAACCGTTAAATCGTCCATCTTTGCTCACTACATCTCAGCCTTTCTTACTCTCAGGTTCTCAGACTCTCTGCATAAACTAAAGCTTATTAACTCCTTTTTAAAATCCAGTATTGTGCATCCTCTCATTGTTTTAATACTGTCTGTGTATGTTTGTGTCTGCTTGCAGCAAATGGAGCGGTTCAAAATAGTGGAAAGAGAAACGAAGACGAAAGCGTATTCAAAAGAAGGTTTGGGTCTGGCCCAAAAGGTGGACCCGGCCCAAAAGGAGAAGGAGGAGGTCGGCACGTGGCTAACGGTGAGCTTCATTATTAAACGGCGTTGTACGCGGTGTCAGCAATCATTTTTCCATAGAGAACAACAAATGCTGAGGTGAAGAAAGGTCAGTACAGGGGAGATGTGATGTACCAGTCAACAGTCTTGCTGCTGCATTTTGAACCAACTATTTGGCCCTGTGTGTAACTTGACTAATGTGTTTTCCACTATTAGCTTTACCCGAGTTGTGCAAACATTGAGGATTTTAATCATCAGCCCCGACTGAAACCTAATTTTAGTCGAATTATGCACCTTTTTTGTGTCATTGCACAGAATAACAGGCTCAAAATGAGCTAAATGCAAGTCAACAGCCCTCTCCAACAATAAGAAACTTGTTTGAGTCAGAGGAGGGCAGAAGTCAGAAGTCAGGGGTGACTGAGGAGTTTGCTGCTGGGAATGTTTTAATTTTATTTTCTTTAACAAAACCTGGAACTGAAAGTGAACCAAAACCAAAATTAAGACCAAACGCAGTCTCAGCTTTCACAAAAGCAAAGACTGACAACCTCATTAACCAGCTGCCACTTACACTAATACATCGCAGCTGTGTTTGTCACCACAAAGAGTGCATTTACTCCATGGTGATATACTTGCACGAAACATATTGTGACGGGACAGTTGGGACTTAAAGCTGCATTCGGTAACGCTTATAAAAAAATAACTTTTTGTCATATTTGATGGAATTGTAACTATATCCTGAAAGTAGAAGAATCAGGTTCCTCTGGCTCCTCCTAGTGCTCCTAATTGACTCTAGCGTGCCTGAAAGAAAAGAACCAATCAGAGCAAAGAAAGATTGTGGACTGTTTATTGTTCATTCCCAGATTGCTCATACCGACACTGAATAAAACCCGTCGATCGACTATCATCAAACCTTAAAGCGTCTTCATATCTCTCTCGGCTCTGATTGGTTGTTTTTATTCAGGTCCTGGTGAATGCTTGTAAACGCCATCAGGAGCACTAGGAGGAGCCAGAGGAAGCTGATTATCCGTCTCATCTGTCAGGATATAGAGAAAGTTTAGCAAATATAACATTATTTTATATAAAAGTTACCTTCTGCAGCTTTAATTACTTTTGGGAGAAGGGATACACTTATTTGCTTTAGAGTGTGTGTGAAATGACATGTCTGTTTCTAGGTGATATTAATCAGTTTCTATGTCATTGAAGTTATTTATCAAAACACGCCAAACATTCCTCGACTTCCACCTTCTCTAATGTGACAATTTGCTGCTTTTCTCTCTGGGAACAGAATATCTTTGGGGGTTTTTAGACTTTAGATTAATATAAGAGTCATTAGATGGCGTTACCACAGGCTAACGGGCACTATTTTTACATTTTATGGACCAAACATTGAATTAATTAAAAAACTTGGCAGAAAAATAATAATAATGGAAATAACTGTTAGTTGTGGTCCTACATATTTTTTTAAATGTGGCCTTTTGTAGTCTTACAGGCTGTTTTAAGATCATTTAATGCTTCTGGGTTCTACAAACCCAGCTCACACTCTTACTATTGATAATTTCTCATAAAAATATCTTTTTTTGTCACATTGGATATATTAAAGACCTACTTGTAACTTGGGCTTTAACTTAAAGTTGTTTTCATTATTGATTAATATGTTACCTAAAGGCAGCAATGATGTCTTCAAACTGCTCGTTTTGTCTGTTCAACAGCCAAATATTTTCAGTTTAGTATCATATAAGACAAAGAAAATCAGCAAATCTAACTATTAACGAATAATTGATTATCAGAATAGTTGCAGATGAATCGACTATTCGTTTCAGATCTACTACTACAGCTGAATATTAACTCTACTCTCATTCCTGTCCTTCACCCAGAATACGATAGACACGTTGAACATGCAAGTGGACCAGTTTGAGAGCGAAGTGGAGTCTCTTTCAGTCCAGACGAGAAAAAAGAAAGGAGACAAGGAGGTCAGTGTGTTCTCATCCCCGATCCATTCATTCTTTTCTTCTCCACTCTCTGTCCGGGTTCCTCCGTCCTGCTCCGTTTATAGCTGACACAGATGGGTCGGTCAGTTGGCCGTCCGCCTCGCAGCTCTCCTCTGTCCTCTTTTATCTCCCCTCTCCTCTCTGGTGGAGAGGTCAGATAGCATGTCCTCCATTTATCTTCTGTGTCTGCTCTGATGACGATAACCTTGCTGACCACTTCTTTCACTTTCTCTCTCACTCTCACGTCCCCTTCAAAGTCCTCTCCAGGGGTCTTTAGTTTTAGAAATAGCTCTCTGACGGCTGGGCGGTCATTTCAAAGAGTATGAGAACAAGCAGGTCCCGCGTACGACCTTCATACCTGCGATGTCTGGAGACAAATCACTTTTACTGTAACTGGCTTGTGTTTTTCCCTGAGGACTTCTTTCTAAATGACACCCAGAGGGGTTTATTTTTGTCTGTTGCTTCGGCAGTTCAGCTTAGCCGGCCAAAAGCGTAGGACCGTGTTTCTCTGCAGAGATCTTCGAAGAAATGTAGAGCTGAAGAGCTCACACAGGCTCCAAAATGACCAACCGTCAAGGGCAAAAACAATCACGAAGAAAAGATTTCTCTTTGGTGGATTACTCATCTCAAAGGTCGCCTGCTGCGCTGGTCATTAACTTCCTGCGGCGACAATATTCAAATATTCAAACACCTGCTGCCTTTTAGTGCCTGTTGAGGATGAAACATGCAGTGTATGTTGCATGCAGGGATAAAAAAGAAGAGGTGTCTGGCTAACTGTACAGCACATCTACACAATCTTAACCGTTGTTCTCGTGTAGCTGTAACATCACACAACCAGTGATTGGTTGAGCAGAGGAGGATATGTGGCGACGCTGAATTTAAATTTGGAGTAACGACCTTCACAGAGCAAAGACAAAGAGTGAAAAAAATCACTCCATATTTAATGCATAGTGCACTATATTTACACTCCATCTTCATCTGGCATATACAACACCTTCTGTTCCCACAGTGCATTGTGTTGCATTACAGTGTTCACTATAGATTTAACTACTGACTACTAAGTGTGTATTAATGTATTCTTCCACAGGGAATAATGAAAGAGCGGATGAGGGAGTGATTTCAGACACAGCCGTAATGTTTTAGGATTCACTTTTATTGTGTGAGGTTGAAATCTAGATTCTCTTTCAGAGGTTCTGGTTTGGTAAACGCAGCAGTGACACCTAATGCACACGTCAGTATTACACACAAGTATCTAGAGTATATCTGCATATCAGACACATTTATCACCCCTCTACACAGAGAGAAGATCCTGACACACAGTCATCTACCGCATTAAAAATATCCAGGATCTATGAATATGCACATTTTGTTCATTTCTATATCATTTCTATAATGTCTGGGAGTGTCTGTGCACTGGTGGCTTCAGGTTTCTACATCACGCTTTCATAAGTTGCATATTGGACCAATAAATCAGATTTTCAGTGAGCACAGAGGAAACGCTGCACAGTGAAGATCAAACATCAAACTGTAGGAACAAGAAGAAAACAGATTTTTGAGTGGAAGGGGATTGTAAATATAACGAGTGAGCACTGAGAACTTTAATACACAGTACAGTGTCAAACCAGTGCTTCAAACACCTGTATTTACACTATACAGCATGTTCAGACTTAATGCAAGCAAGTATTACAACTATAAAACAACAAACACACAGTTAGCTGTCAGACATGGCGCTTATGAGTCAATAAGGAAAAAGATAAAGCGAACCTTCGAATAAATATAAACTGAATCTGTTACCTGAAAAAAGTCTTTAGAGTGTGAAGCAAATCCTTGAAATTTTAGGTAGTTTCAAAGGCTTTGCTCCACTGCTAGAAAAAACATATTTTATAAATAAGGAGGGTTTTTTTTTTTTCAGCATTTCAAAGGAGTTCCTGGACTCCTGCTGCCCTGAGAGGTGTTTTTAGCTCACATAGAGTTTTATATTTATGTTTTTACAGTTGGAGTCCGTGGATGAATGGCTCATTGGCTCATTCTGAATGAAAAGGCTTGTAACTGTGATCATAAGTTCTAAACAAGCAGAGAAATATATCTCCAGAGCTCCAGTTTGTTTGCTAGAAGCTTTTTTTTTTTGGCTCCCTGTCCGCCAGTTTATTTAAAAATATCCCAATAAAACTATTTTAGCCTGCGTGAGATATTTTATTCAGTTCCATACTCTCCTCCCTCCTCGGTACTTAATTTTGGACACATTAAGAGTTCAGATTGAGCCTTTTGGAGCCTGGATGCACTCAGAAACCTCCCCATGTTCCTGACATGTGCTGGCGCAGCATTAATATGTACTGTGATGAAACACATTAATATGTTCCACTCTGCTGCCGCCTCTAATGCGGTCCAGCAGCGGCCGAACAACATACATCTAAAGTGTTCTGCCTGCGTGTTTAAACATCCGTGGTGTTTTTTATAATCACATCAGTTCAGCCAGTGATCCATGGAGTCACACGTGTGCTCTGCATCCGTTCTCAAGGTTTTATCCAAAACAGACCTACACACGTGTTTATTATTGTCCAAATATCCATTAAAACACCTTTTTAGACCTGAAATATAGAGATGAGCAACACCTTGTTTTAAAAACAGACAAAATATAGGGTATTTAAATGCTTCGGAACATGTATGAAGTAACAGCGGAGGAGAATAATTAAATATTGAAGTTGGAAGTGGTGCTGAGCGTGTGCTGCTGTACGATGCATAAAGACATAAAGTGCACACGTAGCAGCGGCGCCTGCTCTCATGCTGATGTAACTTTCATGTGTTTCCTCACGTCTCCATGTTTAACTTTAAAATTTTAACATGCTTTCTCTTCATTTTGTTTTTCAAAATGTTTTTCCTTTATATTTCAATAAATAATTGATTAACATGTTAACATACGCTGGAATAAGATGGTGTTACGTATATCCCCAGCTGGTTAAATATGACTGTTTTTATTACGATTTATATCTATATTTGGCATCTGAATCCACATGTTAGACCAACGAGAGACATTAAAACTCTCCACTGAGATCCAGGTTGATGACTTTATTTTACTGGTACAAGCTCTTTAATCCAGCATGATCCTCACTCCCCCATCCCCCGTTCCCTCCCTGCCTCCTACATTCTCGTACAGAAGCAGGACCGGATCGAGGAGCTGAAGAAGTTCATCGAAAAGCATCGGCACCACATCCGGATGCTGGAGACGATACTGAGGATGCTGGACAACGACTCAGTGCAGGTCGACGCCGTCAGGAAGATCAAGGTTCGCTCATGTCTTTAGAAAACAAAGTCATTGGAGTTTTTAAAGTTTTCTGGGCTTTTATTTTCATCAGTTTTGTTCTGCACAGTTTCTGAAAATATCCTTTTAATATATTTCTATTGACACATTGACTCAGCCAGTGATGGAACAAGTGCTGGTATAATTTACTTAAGTAAAAGTAGAAACACCACAGTGTAGTATCTTACTTAAAGGTCCAGTGTGTCAGATTTAGTGGCCTCTAGTGGTGAAGTTGCAGATCACAACTCCTTCGTTTCATCCTCCCTTTCAAAGCACGAAGGAAAAAACTACTGCTGCTGCCTTACACACAAATGAACCTACCTACAGCCAGTGTTTGGTTTGTCCTTTCTGGGCTACAGTAGAACCCGCAGCGTCTGTAGATAAAAACGTCTCATTATAAGGAAACAAAAACACAACAGTTCTTATATTCAGGTGATTACACACTATAAACATACTTATGGATATTATATTCTACCAATAGAGCCTCCTTAATGTTACACACTGGACCTTTAAGTACAAAATATTAGCACCAATATATTATTAATGTACCAGAAGTAAGTAAATATTATGCATTATCTATTTTTGAATAATATAGATTATATAATATAATTATTATATTGATTGATTAATGTTATCTTAACTATTACAATATGGCATAATTTATTTGTTTATTATATTTTGCATTGATCTGAATCTGGATAAATACCTAGTAACTACAGTATTTGAGTAAATGTACTTGTACTTTCCACCACTGAGCTGAGCCAGCGTTTATTTCCTTTTTTGTACTGTCACATGTAAATGTGTGTTTAAATAAATGCCTCTGTTCTCTTTCTCTTTCTTCTTTATGAAGGATGATGTGGAGTATTATCTAGACTCGTCGCAGGATCCGGACTTTGAGGAGAATGAGTTTCTATACGACGACCTGGACCTGGAAGACCTCCGTAAGTATAAAAAGAGCTGAAGTTAACTCAACACAAGATAGAAATATATACAAAAGGTATAAATTCAGAGCAAAACTCTGAACAGGTGAAGCCACAAGAAAAGGATCATATATTAACAGGTGTCGGGGAAAAGCTGGACATTTAGAGACTAGATTTCCAGTCATGGAAACACCCGAAAATTGCTTAAAATGACCAAATATTCCAGCAAAAATTCATGCACAGTGATGTGAATTGTATGTGCAATGAACAATTTAACTTTCTAGAAGATAATTTGTCTGTACAATAATATAAATCTGACTTGATTTCAACTGTTACATATGGGCTACGGTCAAATGAATGTAGTCAATTTACCCAACACCGCAGTTTATACGATGCTTATAAGCATGGTCTGTCCTGTATTATCAAGAAAAACTCCTGGAAAACGTCCTGGAAAGAACCTGGAAATGATAAAACAGCTGGAACCCTGATGTGCAGGCAGAGCCAAAGACCCAAGAAGAGACATGTTGTGTGGCTCCTGTTGTTCAAGTTAATACCATAAAACTCGTGAAAGCGATGGTGTTAATGCAGTTTCTCTGTGTACCATCATTGAGCTCTTCTCCCTCTGTGTCTCTGCAGCTCAGACGCTGGTCGCTACCTCCCCCCCGGGACACTCGCACTTGGAGGATGAGATCTTCCAGCACTCCAGCAGCACACCCACCTCCACCACCTCATCCTCACCCATCCCCCCCTCACCTGCCACTTGCACTACGGTAACAACAACCCCAAACTGCTTCTTTCACCTTGATATCTGCATGCAAACTGACGTTCGGGCAATTCAGAAAGTGTCCGAACATTTATGCAACGTAAAAAAAAAGTTAAAAGTCTGTTTTCAAAAGTTCCATTTGGAGTCTTTTATAGATTTTATAGAGATTGAAACTAATCTTGCTGTCGGTGCTCTGTTCGCTATCTATCTGTCAGATTATTATCTCTTCATCAACCTTTTGATTTTGTCACTAATAGTGGCAATAATGCAATATTGGCAATTCCTGACAATTAAGCCTATTGTTGCATACGCTTCCAGTCAAAGTCAGGTCAGTATCTGAAATATAAATGTAAGATAATTGCCTTTGTGTCTGCTATTGTAGTGCCCTGCCATCTGCTCTTATTGTTCTGCTCTGTTGTCATTATATCATCTGTTCTTCCTCTCCACCCACATGCAGTTTGTAGTGAGAGCGGTTATTATAGGTCTGATGTGTCTGAATAGTAGGCGTGGTTTTTGTTAAATGCTGCTGACATGAAGTTAAGCTTAAGCATGAAAGGGAACGTAAAGGATGGGGCTGCGAGCCGCAGTGATCCCTGGGAGATGTGATTGTTTAACTTTTAATTATCTGAGGAAAGTTTCAGGGAATTATTTAGCTGTTGAAGAACTGAGAGGGGCTCTCTCATACCGGCAAAAGTTGGAGTTGAGCCCCAAAAGCTCTTAAAAAGATTAACTCAAGAAGAATTTGGCGTCTTTTGGTTTTGGTTGATCTTGTTTTACACCCTCGATGTTGTAGTACAGCTATTAAACATCGTAACCACACAAGCTCTCTGTGACCTAATGTTGTTCTTCATCTGTGTTTTTCAGGAGAACTCAGAAGACGATAAGAAGAGGGGACGTTCAACGGACAGTGAAGTTAGTCAGGTGAGTCTAAAGACGCTGAGAGTTAAAGTCTGATAATACGTTTATTAGGTCAAATGTGAAAAACGGACAATAAGTTGCTGGTTTGAGTTTTTAAATTGAGATTTTCTCAGTTTATATTCATGTAAATTTAATATTTGACAATTTGAAATGTTTTTTTTTTACATTTACAAAACATTTAAGCAAAAAATGATTGATAGATTAATTAATAATAAAGAGAATGAATCCTATATAGTAGCTTTAATATACTCAGATTTTTGTACTTCTTATTAGTGAGCAATGTTTTTACCTTGTTTCTGTTGTGTGCTACTTTAATTTGATATCATTTATCTTTTCATGTTGACGTCCAAGTTTTTGGATAATAACATTTTGTTTATGTTTATTATGTTTCTAACAGAGATAAACATATTGTGTACTTCACACTCGTTTCCTGTCTTTCTTCCAGTCACCTGTGAAGAACGGAAACCCCTCTTCCTCGTTATCCTCTTCCTCCTCCTCCTCCTCCTCCTCTTCCTCCTCCTCCTCCTCCTCTTCTTCTTCCTCTTCCTCTTCCTCTTCCTCCTCGTCCTCCTCCTCCTCCTCTTCCTCTTCCTCTTCCTCCTCCTCTTCCTCCTCCTCCTCCTCCTCCTCCTCCTCCTCCTCGTCCTCGTCCTCGTCCTCCTCATCCTCTTCTTCTTCCTCCGTCTCGGGACTGACCCCATCCTCACTGGTCTCTATGGCGACCATCGCCGGGGGAGGAGGCAGCGGCTCTGGGGGCAACAGTCACCACGGCAACTCGGGGGGTCTCCTCTCCAACACTTCCGCGGGCAGCTACAGCAACGCCACCCAGCAGCAGCCGCACCCGTCGGCACAGCAACAACAGGCCAAAAACTTAGTTAGCTCCCCGATCTCCGCCCCCACCTCCAACCCCCTCCCCTCCACCAACAGCCACCCGACCTCCTCCTCCGCCTCCTCTCCCCCCAACGTCAGCACACAGGGGCTCTTCACTTCAAACACCCAGCCCCAGGTTCTGTCGGGGCCCCCGCCGACCTCCAACAGTCTCGGCCTCAGCCTCGGTCTCT